TCAGAGACAAAAAACAGACCACTTACAAGGGAACACCCATCAGAATTACAGCAGATTTCTCTGCACAAACCATCAAATCACAAAGAGCGTGGTGGGAAATAATTCAAGCTTTGAAAGATAATAATCTCCAGCCAAGATTGAGATATCTTGCACAACTGTCCCTGGAAATTGATGGAAAAACAAGGTGCTTCCAGGATAAAGAGGAACTGGGGGAATTTGCAACCACCAATTTAACTCTACAGAAAGTATTGCAGGATATTCTAAAACAAGAAAAATACAAAGAACCCAGAAATAGTGGTGGGGAGGCCACAACGAATGGAGCAGAGAACAAAATGAAGAAGACAAACTGACAGCTACTGACAGAAAAAGAGCTCAACAGAAATGAGACAGAGAATATTGGATGATAGGAACAGCTATTTTGGAGAAAATGACATCTTAATAGGTAATACTGATTTAGTACCATCTTGTTTTGAAGTCTCATCTAGCTTTTGTTCTTCTGTCTCCAATGGTCTAAATAGGTTGTATCTTATTGGATTTTATTATGTACAATAGTATAAGCAAAAACCTTTTAAAGACAAGGAGATTATACAGAAACCATTGTTCATTTTCTTTTAGTCAATTCTAAATACTCTGTAATGCTTTCATTCTCTTAAATGGTTTTACATTGTTTTGATATACTTAATGCTACAGTATATGAAGTTATACTCAAGAACTTCAGGGAAAGAGTCAATATGGTAACTACTTTTGGGTCGGAATTATCTGGTGGTGAAACACTATTCTGCTTAAATGGTTATGTTTTGATCTGCGCTGTTTCGCTGTTATGCCCTCTTTTATCCCAATCTCCACTCCATTATTTACTTTTTAATTTTTATCCGTTTAATTAAAGGGAAAAAAATAGCAGGATATATTATAGTAACCCACTTTGACTTTCTATTATCTCGATTTGAAGCCCTGTATTACTCTCACCATCTTGTTTTTGACTGATGTTCCCCTATTCTGTTTTGCTGGATAGTATCAGGTTCGAAAGTTTAGGCATCAGCTGTGAAGATAATGAGATTCATTATCACGCCCATTCTCGTTGACTTTTATCTACTTTTGAAGACCTACAATGTCTCCAATGGTTTGGTTTTGTCAGTTTTGTTCTTTACTGTTTTGTTCAATTGTATTATAACTAATGTATAGGCAATTCTATTAGAGATAGCGGGAGGCATTATGGTAACCACTGTTGATCACCTTGTATTATGTTTTTACATTATCTATTATGTCCACCCTTTTGACTTGACCGATTCTGTTCTGTTATGTCACATTTGGTTTTACTCTCTTTCAAAAAAGCAATAAGAACCGTGGGAGCAATGAAACCCAAAATGTGTAATAGTCATTGTACAAAAAAGAGGAAAAGAAAGTGCTCTAAACTATATAACTGCATGTATATTTAAGTGTATAAGATAGAAAATGATATCACAGAGTTTTATTGGATCATTGAACAGAACTGTTTGCAGTATCATTGTTGGAATGTCCACTCTACAAGCTTTAATTTTGTGACTTGAACAATTATTTCTAAGATGGTAATATGTAATCCATTAACTAGTGATTTCCTACTGTTCATTTTTTTTCTGTAAATCTGTATAACTTGTACCCTTTCACTGTTTTTTTTTTCTTTTCTCCTTAAATAAAATTAAAAAAAAAAGAATTTGCAAGATACGGTTAGCAGTGAGTTTTGTCTCCAATATTAAATAACATTTTACTGTGTCTTAAAGGAAAGATGATATTAGAAAATACATTTAAAATGGCTTATGAAGGCGTAATTCTCTTAATTACCATGTCTATTAATTTTTAAAATAAATATTTTCACTTGAAGCATAAATTACTAATGTTGTATACCTGATTTTGAACTTAGTTTATGATTATTTTGACAGTAGATGAAAACTCCTATGTATGTACATTCTATGTCCATATTGTATACCTTTTCACATATATGTATACAGAGAATCATATCAAATCTGCCTGCTATGCCAAAGGAAAGCATGGAGATTCCGTTTACTAAATAAAATAATACACACGACAGAAAGTGGAAAACAATACTGTGAAACGCTCTGCAGCATCACAGATCTGGATACAAGGATTGAGTATGGAGGAAGCAATCTTAAAAAGAATTATTGTGTGAAAAATAAATTTTGTCTCAAGTGTTTCTCAAATACTAATCAAATAGGGACACAACACTTGAAGGACCTGGGACTTAGCTCTAATATCCCATGGCCAACTCCTCTATTTTAGGCTTGCAAACAAATCCATAATTTGGGACTTGTAGGGCACTCCGACACTTTGGTAATGGCCAAGTGTGAAGTCACATATTTAATAAAGTGCACATTTCATTAGTTTCAAAGCTCGCAGATCTTGTTTGTGATTGATAAAATATAAATTGTTTAAATGTAACATTCACAGAAACAGTTTTCATTTTATATTTTATGTGTTACTCTTATATCCTGTGACCTTGCTGAAACCGTGTATTAGTTTGAGAAGGTTTTTGTAAATTTGGAGATTTTTCAAGAAGGCATATTTTCAGCTACAAGTAAAGGCAGTTAAATTTTCCCCTTCTGATCTGTATGGCTTTTACATTTTCTTGTGTAATGGCAGTGGCTAGAATTTCCACATTGTCTTACCAAGAAATATCTTATTTGTTACATCTTTGCCTTTTTCCTTAGCTGAGGGAAAAAGCACCCCATCAGGAAGTATGTTAACTGTGAGCTTTTTACATGCTACTTAACAATTTAAGGAGTTTCCCTCTGCTTTTAGTTTGCAGAGAGTTGGATGGCTGTTGGGTTTTTGTCCAATGCTTCTCATGCATTAGCATCATATTTTAGTCACCTGCTGATATGGTGAATTACACTGATGAGTATATAAATGTTGATTCAGTCTTGTATTCCTGTAATGAACTCTGCTTGCTCACAATGTATAACTTTTTTAAAGCAAAAAAAAAGGATAGAAATGATACAGAATTTTTTAAAAAGCAGTAGGAAATTAACACTAATTAATATATTGCATATTGTTATCTTAAAAATATTTGTTTAGATTACAAAATCTAGGCACAAAAATAATGTATAATTTTTGTATAGTTTATTTTCAAGGGACAAGATACAGTGTTGTGGTATACATATGCATAGTGAAATGATGGCTATAGTTAAGCAAACTAACTTCTACCATCTCATAGCATTACTCTCTTTGTATACTAGATGTATCTAAAACTTCTACTTGGTAAATTTCATATAAACATTGCTGGATACGATTTATCATTGTTTTGTTGAAATTTTTGTCTATGATCATGAGAGAAACTGTTCTGCACTTACATTTTACACACTGTATCTTTCTATCAATACAATAAAAAAACAAGAGTATGGAAGGAATGTGTAAAAATCATTTTACTGCAAAAGTTGAAAATCACCAGGCTAAATGATCACTTAATCCATTTCACCATAATGCAGTATGCAAGTTCCTCAAAAAGTCAGATCCTGCAACCCCACTCCTGGTTATATATTAAGTAAATGAAATCGGTGTGTTGAAGAGACATCTATACTTCCATATTAACTGTATCACTGTTCACAAGAGCCCAGGTATAGAACTGCCCTAAGTCGTCATAAATACATAAAGTGATAAAAATGTGCTACACATATACAACAGAGCACAAATCAGCTATAAAGTCTTATCATTTACCACAGGATAGATGAAGCTAGGAGACATTAAGTGAAATAAACCAGGCACAAAAATATTGCATGAGATCACTCATGTGGAATCTAAAAAAGTTCATTTTATAGAAGTGAAGGATAAATAGTAACGATCAGCCACTGGGGAGAGAAAAAAGGAAAGGAGGATGAAGAGAGCACAGTCAACAGTTATAAAGTCACAGCTTGACAAAAGCAGGAAGTCTTCTTGTTCACACCAGGTGACTAAGGTAATGATAACATGCCACACGCTTCAACGAGCTAGCTTTTAAATATTTCACTGTAAAGAAATGACAAATATTTGATGTGATGTGTATGCTAATTACTGACTCTATTCATTACACACGTATTTATATGGCAAAACATAATATTGTAACCCATAAATTTTTACAATTTTAATTTTTTAAAAACACTTGCATGATTAATATCTTGAAGTATAATGAATCAAGAAGTAGGATTCAACGTGGTATAAATATGGTGATCTAAAGTGCATTAAAATATCATCAAAGGTGCTCAAGAGAGATGATATCTCAAAATATCAAAACAAAACAGAATTTACTAGTAAGCAACATATCAATCTATATACATAACTATGGTTTGTTAAAGACAATTTTATATGAAGTGAAAAAATTACCATATAAATAATAAAATAAATGTAGGAAAAGAAGTCCTTTAAAAAGAAGGAACTTTAATTTTCTCTGAGTAATTAGCTAAGCTTAAAATAGTAAATGAATATTTAGTGTCTACAGCTAAAATTCAGTTCTTTATACTTTCTTTTAAATGTATGGTTTCTAACTGTTTAAAGCCTAACAGTTTATCCCATCTAGGTCCACTTTTTGTCAAGCTCAAGTGAAATTAAAGTTAATACTATTAAATAATATTCATAGTAGCTAAAACCCCTTCCCCATTCCTTCACTGTCTACCAGCCTGTGTTTCTGTTCTTGTCCAGTGGTGATGTATTTAAGAAGATATTCAGAAGATGGTAATGACTTCTGAGTAATGAAATTTGAAGGAATGTTTAGTTTCTCCTTAAAAAGATTTATAGTAACTTTTTTCATTTCTACAAAGGCAAAAAAATTAGTTTTTCTAAATAGAGAAAAATTTTAAAAATTTATAAACATGGGTGTCAATTTTCCTCCAACATGGTTCATTTTCATGGTCGCATTTGATAATGATAAAATTAATTTAATGCAATGACTTTGTATTGTGTTCCTATAATTAGAGAAATGTCTCATGAAACAACACAATTTCAAATCTTCTTGGAAAACAAAGTACACACTCCAATTAGAACATTTTGAAGAACAATTTTTATTTTCCACTAAAGAAAAATTGGTTCAAATCACAAAGTTCAGCCAGATTTCATGCAGCAGAACACAGAGGCAGGCAGGGTGATTCAGAATGACCACCTTTGGTATTAAATGGAATAACAAACTTAATTTTAAGCTTTCAGCTCTGTAAGCTCACGTTTATTCATGTTGGAGCTACACAAGACGAGAGAAAGTGCATGACCAGGTCTTTAGGGAATGATTGTAGCAGCATCAGGTACCAAAAGATCCATGTCCAGCAATGTCTTATACAGCAGCATTTAAACAATCACACTAGTAAAATCAAAATACAGTATACACAGGTCTTTATTCTTTACTTGTACTGCTTACTTTATTAAGAATATGAAATGTTAGCTGTATCTTTTGGAGATAATAATATAGACAGAAATTAACAGCCACATAGAAGGATGCATATATTTAATTTAAACATTGACTTAAAATATTGATCCTCCTAAACTGAGGCCCCAAATTCACACAGAACAAATTCTGAACACTATTCTAAAATTTTGTGTTTGGGGGGGGGGGGAACAAAAGGGATGCATAGGCTCCTTTTCCTCCAAGCTGTTTTATTCTTTTGAGGAAACATTGTGATAATTCTGAAATGACTGATTGGTACATTAGCAAACCCTTTCATGGTCTTGAAAACGTAGATTTTTGTGGCTAAGGTAATGTAATAATTCAAAAGATAGCATGAATCTGATCAATATATATAATAAAAATCTAAGTGATTGAAACCCTATGTAAATTTTTTCCCTCATAAAACCATAGAAGTTAACACTTTTAAAAGTCCATCTTGTCAAATTGAATAGTCTTCAACTTTGGAAGTGCAGGTGCTTTAAAAGAAACACACACACACACACACACACACACACACACACACACTCACACACACATGCCTTCACCTTCACTTTATAGTCAATTATTCAGCTGTTGTTTCTCTATAAGTGGCCTCTGGACTGGCAGGGAACATCAACAAAGGGTAAGCTAGCCATGCACACTGGAGGCCCTCGCTCCAAGCTGCTGCAACACAACGCCTGAGGGTTCACCAGAAACCTGTGAAAACCAGCCCTTTTAGTAATTCTGATGTCCTGTAAGGTTTGAGGAGCTCTATTCTAAGGAGAAGGCAGAGCATGGGACTATTGTAAAGTCCCCAGCACATTCAAAGGCAGTTGGTTTAGGATTTATTTATCATTTCCAGATTCTTTCTCCCCAGAGGAGAATACAAAAGACAGCGATCCTGAGAGCAAAGTTCCAACAGAATTTAGACCTCACGTCCACCCTGCCTGCGTCCTTGCTGTGACAGGTAGAAACAGAAATTCACAGCTGTTCAGCAGAATTCACGGAAACTTTGGATTTCTATCCTCTTGTCAACTTTTCAGCCCATCTGTGATATGTGAACAATAAGACATCACTCCAGAAAATCAGAATATGGAAAATTTCATTTCTAGTTTGTGAATATGATTGAATTGTAAGCTGAGTTTAGTTCAGGGGAATTGTCAAGCTTGGCTCTTCCTCCACATTAGCTCTCTCTCTGGAAAACATCACAAATGCTGCCCCTGTTTGTTCCAATCTGGGCCTGCTAAGGTAAAATTCTCTCTGCAGCCCAGGAGGCTGCGGGGGAATGAAGCATGAATGCCTAAAGATGGTGTTGGACTCTTTTTCTCCCTGATTCTGTGCCTGAACATTGAACTCAATCTCATTAGCTGCATCAACATGCCAGCAATATCCTCTGCAAACTAAAATCACCAGCTTTCAGCATCAAAAACACTTTCTAATAGTCAAAGCTGGGTGGCCCTGAATTTAATTCCTTCTTAACAAAATGGGAATGTTTCCACTAGAAAGCAACCCGTGTTCCTATTTCTCCCTTCGAGGCTTTTTGCTGTTTCTAAATGACAATTTTGTTTAACCAGCAGCACCTACATTGCCAGATACATCAGCAGGCCACTCACTCTGCATTCTGATCCTGAGTGTTCTCCCATGGTTGTCAGGTGCACCCCAGGCCTATCTACACTCATCCTCACTTGAGTTAGAAAAAGTTCCAGCTCAGGGTGATGGAAACTCATTTCAGACCTGCCCACGTCTCCTCGGCAAGGTAAAAGTTTGGTTACTACTTAATGGAGCAGTCCCAGGACAGCTTGCTGTGACCAGAGTCTGATTCTGGAGTGGGGACTCCACAACTTGCTGGCAAACCTGTACCACTACATCCTGCCACTTCCAAAGCAATGATACTTGCACAACATTCAGTGGGAAACAAGTCCTCAGGGATGTGGCATCCGCCGGGCCCAGCATCCCAGCAAAAGCCCTCCCAACAATCATGCCAGGATTGACTCTCCTGCCATGTGACTCTGAAGAAACTGGCTACCTGTGACCTGATTTAGAAGCAACTTGCTCATAAAGCTTGTATTTCTCACACTTTTCTGTTTCTTAAATACTAATAAGACAGCCAGGCCAACCCCTAAATCCAGACAAAATAATGAGGGCGGGGGGGGGGGTTGTGGATCAAGCCTCTTGTGAACTTGACACCAACAGAAACTGGAATCCCCAAGCATAGAAATATAGCTCATTGCAAGAAAGGAGCAGGGGAGAACAGTAAAAAAATGATGTATAAGAAACAGTTCATGAAAAAGCAACCAAAAAAATTCAACACCACTGAGGGATGATGCATTACGTGAATGAATTGATCTGTAACTCATTTCTAGTGGATATTCCTTAGATCCCCAAAGGCCCCTGAAGCAGAAATCATTGGTTGGATAAAGAGCAGAAGCCTGGAGGCTGCTTCGATCCATCCAGTTCCCATGGTCCATCTGTAGTCAATGCCCAAGACCTAGGGCCCAAAAAGCAGACCCTCAAGCCCAAATAAAACAATGTTCTCTGATTTCCTGAACAATTTGCTGATCCATTTCATACTTGACATAAGCCCATGCTATCCTGAGGCCTTAAATTCTATCTCTGGCATCCTTCAGAAGTCCACTGATTGCCACTGAGTCCAGTTACTAGAAAAACTCTTCCCTTGTGGGGCACATCAGTGCAAAGGCCATGTCAAACAGAAGTGCCCCGTAGGACCTGCCTCCTACCCACAGCTGTTCTGAAAAAATACTGCCTGACACTCCTGTCAGGTGTAGGCCACCCTTCCTCAGCCCACCCCCAGGACTGCCCATTATGTGACTTGCAGCTTGACTGCCCAAAACAAGCCCACTAAAGTACACAAAAAGAGCTTTAGAATGATGGCACATTAGTAGTCCAATTTTAATAATCAACTTACAGTGTATGAAACACAATAAGACAGTGTTCCATTGCAAACTCAAAGAGCACTAACTCACATTAATTTGGAGATGACTGTATTGGTTGCCTCTCCCTCAAAGTTCAAAAAATTAAGTAGTGGAGACCAGTTTCAATGCACTTCAGTTACCTTTTCTCCCTGAATTCTCTAACAACCAAAACCTTGGAATTGCATCTTGAGATATCCATAAATTTGTTCTCAGCAAAAAGGCGAGGCTTTTCACTCCAAAGGTGACATCAAACCCTAGAGCTACATGATGAGTTCCTTACATAGTGGCTTACTACGTCAAATGAAGTCAATGCTGAAACAGAGACAGAAAATTTGGCTGAGGTTGCACCCACCATATAGTTAGAACACTCAGGCATCACCATGCTGCTCTTGGCACACACGGTTATGGCCCTGCACACAGAGCAGAACCTGGGAGTCATGCGACAGTGCTGATGGAAGCACGTGAATGATCGGGAGCTGCACAGGGTCCTGCAGGGAATCAAGTGCCCAGAGCCTTCACAGATCTCACAGAGAAGCCTGAGATGGCACCTGAGCCTGCCAACTGAGGAGCCCCAATCTGGAACAAGAGATACTCTTCAAACAATGAGAGAAACATCCTGACCAATGCTTTACAACACACAGCATTAGATACGCCAGTTTTACGGGAAACCAAAGATGATGGAAGCAAGCAGATGCAGTAACACACCCCTGTGATCCCAGTTACTCTGGGGGTGAAGTAAGAAGGTCACTAATACGGGGCCAGTCTAGGCAACAGAGCAAGATGCTGTCTCAAAATAAACACCAGAAAGGCTAGGGATGCAGCTCAGTGATAGAACACCCTGGGCTCAATCCCAAGGATCGCAAAAAAAGTCTGAAGCACTTTAAATTGCTCTCCAGGTTCAAATTTTCCATTTCTGAAAGAGAAAACATTCATATACGCTGTAAATTAAAACTGGGTAAATTGCCACTGTATAATATTTTCAAGTCAACAAGTAACTGTCAGAACGTTAGGCATGTACTCTTATTTTATATAGCTGTAAAATAAATGTCATTAACTAAACATGCCATTAATATGTATTTGAGAAAGACTTAACAAGCAACATTCTTAATGGCCAATAGGAATGTGATTCTCTTTAACAAATAGCTACCCACAATGTGCATTCAAAATGGAAAATATTTGCAATCACTATAGATAAAAATTTACATTTTAAATACTAAGTTTCCCGAGGAAGTAGCCAGATGGGTGCTTTAGCCCAATTCACTTGATTATGTAACTTATATACAGGTATTTAAAATAAAGCTTTTGAAACAAGCGCGTGATGAAGCTGTACAGTACATTATTATACCCAATGTAATGTCGCTTCAGCACAAGCATTCTAGAACTTGTATCCAAGGCCACATATAGAAAGGAAGCAGACACTTAGGCTAAGCTGCCCTCTCCTACACAGAAGCATCCCAATCTTGGGTTCTGGTTAATACAGTGGAATTATCACGGCATAGTCTCAGAGATACTGAAAGAGCTGTTAAAAGTCAGTAATTTGCAACATCAGGATTAAAAACTGAGTCACAAGAAGTCCAGGGCTGTACATGACTCACAGAACTGACCCAGCATCTCTCTTTTCCACTCTAATTCACTGTATCTGGGCCAAGGGAAGAATTTAACTATGGCAATCATTAGAGGGAGGAATTCTGGAAAGAAGTAAGTTATAATAAAAAGAAGCACAAGAGATCGGGGCCCCAGGGCCCAGGAAATGATTCAGCTACTTTGAATGTGTAAAACAAAACATGTTAGTTAAAAGCAAAGTTTTCTAAATACATCCAGAAAATTGCCTGACATTCCAGGTCACATATATGGTCAAAATAGCATAGCATGAGTCCATTGAGATGTCTCCTGGGGAAGCAGACTGGGAAGTGTTTCCAGTCACGTCACTGTATGCATTGATGGAGAACTGGACTTGATGCTTGCACGTGGGGACAGTGAGCATCAGCTATTTAAGTATTCCCGAGCCCATATCCCAGTAAGAAAGATAAATCCTAGAAAAAAATAACAGCTTCCTTAGGGAACCAAAGCAGCCAAATCTGAAGAGACAGCACCAATTTTCTTTGATGCACACTAAAAAGCCTGGTTCTGAGCATCCTGGTTTCAAAGGCACACACAGCTTTTCTCCTTCAGCCTGATGGCTGGAAAAAAGGCATGTCTCTAAGAGGTCTCTTCACTCAGTCATGCAAGAGAGAGTGCTTTCAAACTGGACACGGTGAACTATATATTAGGGAAAATTCCACCTTGGAAGCAGAAACCTGACAAATGCTTCACATGCACTCCTCTGGGTAAGAGGTCTGGCACAGGCTCTCTAGGACATCTCATTCAGAACATTTCATATAGGTTTAGATCACTGCAGAAGGTAGGCTACTGTTAATATCAAAACTGGTTTCAGAAGTAGATGCAACCTAACTCTAAACAACTTGGCACAGCAACACACAGCAAGAATATCTTATGTAACTTGGGAGTTTGCTAGTTCTACTAGTCACTTCTGTGCTGTGCCTCTAGCCTCTGCCAGCCCAGCAGCATCCAGACAGAAGGCTATAAACATTGCTATAAACGTGCCAAAGCAGATTTCAGCCTGTCTACTAGAAAAGGGTAGCATCAGCCACTGTATTTTTAATGCTTCCATTTATGTGCCTATGAAACAGAAGACAGCAGGGAAATAAAATCATCCTGCTTGTGCATGCAAGACCCACAGCAGCCAGGAGGCAGACTTTTGCACACCATGAATTCATACACAAAGTAACTGTTCCAGCTTCTGCATGGTGGCTTCAAGTCCCACAAATCTCAGGATACAATATTTCTGCTCCTGTATTTCCACAAAGTGCCAAATATTTCCATGCAAAGGACTTATGATGTTCTTTAAAATGATCTCACACACCCATCCAGTGCCTCATCCTCTAGGAACAAACATGAAAACTCATGATATCTCATTGTTCTAACAATGTTCTCCTATTCTGCCGAGAGCCTTATGCATACAAATGTGAACACTGTTCACGTGGGTGTGTTAGTGAAAAGAAATGGAAGAGCCACGAAGCTAACATACTACAGGTTTACTAAATATTTTAACTAAAATTGGACAGAAAAGTTAACATGTCACAGGCTTATACTAAATATTTTAACTAAAATTTGCCATTTTATATGGATTCCTGACCTGATAGTAGCACACAGGAGACAAAATTCTTTCTATATAAAAAGTTCTTGCTGGGCCTGGAGATTTAGCTCAGCAGCATAAGCGCCTGCCTTGCAAGCATGCAGTTGTGAGTTTGATGCCCGGTACCAATAAAAAAAAGGAAAAACAAAAAAAAAGTTCTTGCTTTAGACTCCTCCTAAAATATATTAGTTTTACAGTCTGAAAATAACTCTCCTAATATAGGGTAAATTTAACATTTCCATACCATTTTTGCGTTGTAAACATAAATATGAAAATTACAATTACAACTCAAGTAGTGATCATTTAATCCAAAAAACATTACCAGAGGAAATATTTAGGAAAAACATGCATTGAAACATATACTACAAATTTAACTCATTGTACAAGACAGCATAATCCTAAGTGTATTCTTTCATAAGAGATCAATCTTTAGCAGGCTTTATTAATACGACTTGACTGTGACACACCTGACTTCCAGATTCCAGTCCATCTTCAGCTCCATAGAAGTGACTGCACACATCACTCCGATGGCTTTTTTAAACTCTCCATATATTTGGTTCCATACAAGGCATAGCTAATACCTGGGCTAGATGCACACCTAAGATACCCAGTTTTGTTCTCAGAAACTCATCCTCTATGGTCACAGAAGTTGTTCTTAAGTCTTTCCCTGACTTCACTTAAGTTACCACTAAAAGTACATCTTCAGGAGAGTTTTTAATGGACAGACTCACAGCCACAATCTCGTGCCGACCTCCTGGGTTGAACTGGGTGAGTCTAGAGGTCCCAGACAGACTCTGCATGGCTTCCAAAGCTCTGCATACTATTTGCAAGTGGGAGTGGAAACCCGTGTACACAGATGTCAGAAAGTCTCCCACTTAGATGAGTCTCCACATAAATGGCGAGAGGCGCTGTGTTAATGATAGTATTTTAAAACACAGCTTATAATATATTGCCTCTTCTCCTAACATTGAGGAATTAAAGCACATTTTTTTTTTCTAGATAAATCTGCTTCAAAATGTACACTGGGCTGCATGGGCCTGGGGATATAGCCTGCCTGGCAAACACCAGGTCATGAGCTTGATTCCCAGGACCAGGGAAAAAAACTGTACTCTGCAAATATTCCTTACCATATTTAAGTGGTTGTTCTTCATTCTATATAAGAACATATCAATAAAATTCCATTAAGCTTTCACTCCTCAAGAGATAAAATTATACAGCATTTTCTCTTTTTTGTCTTATTTATAATTAAGGAGTAAAATAAAACAAAACTGAACAATAATCTTCACTGGACCTAGGAATTTCCTAAAAGGACCACAAGTGGAATGTAACTAAAATAAGAGCAAACTATTGGGATAGCAAGTGTCAACGTGGCTCAGTAGTACACTGAATTTTCTCCTATGAGCCACGGACGTGGGCATGCCACAGGTAGACTCTGCATATCTACCTCACACGTGAGTACAGTTGGTTGATGGTGGGGTGTCTATTCGACTTTTGCTTTCTTTGTTTTCGTTGAGAGGTGATTCATTTTGAATGTGGCACTTGAACACTTGCTTATACGCCTTCCTGAAATTTTCAGAGAGAAAGGCGTATATGATAGGATTCACCGAGGAATTGCTGTAGGCCAGGCAGTGGGCAGTGATCCTGAAGAAGAAGGAAGCCGGGGTCAGTGGGAAGGCTCCAAACTCAGCCCACAGATGGACGATGTGGTGGGGCAGCCAGGATATCCCGAACACCACGACCACCACCAGGACCGTCTGCGCTGTCTGGAGGAAGAGGGAAAGAGAAGGAGGAGAAAAAGCCGGGGTGAAGAGAAAGAAAAGGAAATGCAACAGCAAAAGCATCCAGCACGCTAAACCCACCCTCAGGCAATTTCATATTTTTTCCCACAGGATCAAACAAAAGATCCTAAATTTACTACAGGTGCTTTCACTTCATATAATATTTCTCTTTGTAAAAGTTCTTCAAGATTCGCTATGACCTTCCGTGGTAATAATTTTGGATGTGTTTGAAGGGCTTGTAGATGGTATGAAGCATGCTGTAGATCAGTGGTGGTGAACCTCTTAGAGACGAGTGCCCAAACTGCAACCCAGAACCCACTTACTTATCAACAAGCACCAACACTGCAATTAGATCTGAACACTGAAGTTTCAGTTCAGAGAAGGAAAAAAAAAACCTCACCCATTAACATCTTTTGCCTTAAAAGAAAAACAACACACGTGCCATAAGTTCGCTACCGCTGCTCTAGATCATGGGAGTAGAAAGGTGGAAATGCTCAAGCCCTTAACTTTTAAAGCATCAAAACTGTTCGAGCGTGCACACACCAAACTGCATCACTGACATGGCAGCTCAGATGAGCACTGAGCTCGGCTCCCTCATTTCCATGAACAAATGTGAAGATGTTTATTTCTCATGAAACTTCAGTAAATTAAATGCCACATTAATTAATACCCCGAGGCATTCCACTCACAGCCTATTGACCACTCTGCCCATTTTCTGCTGCCTTTTATCTTAACCCTTCCTGTGCTGCTCCTGAATCAGAAATACTTGGAAATGGGAAGCAGGAGCCAGCGGTTCCCTTTGCACTTCCTACTGAGCTAGGAGGAAGTTGTCCCTGTTTAACAACCTCATACAGGAGGATATGGGCCGTTTTGCTTTAGCCCTGTGTGCTGTGAACATGAAGGTGCATCCAGCTGACCACAAACCCAAGGGCTGCGACTGAGCCTCTGAAGCACTTCCCTGTTCAGTACTTGTTGAAAGGCAACAGCTAGATAGACACAGGTGATGACTGAAAATCATCTCTATGGATTTGAACAAAGGCACTAATATATATTATTTAAATGCCTTCATTAAAGGAGTTTAGTATTTTTGAACTATAAAACACAGAGCAACCAGTGGGCTCCTTCCTTAAAGAGGTGCAGCTCCAGAACTGTGATGGACCTTGCCGGCAAGAATCCATGCAGTCAGCCTGGAAACCAACACTGGCTGAGCACTGAAACGTGCAATATGTTACTGAGTTCCCTCTATTGCCCTGTGAAGTAAACCCTAGGAGAACCTGTGGGTTGTAAACAGAGAAACTGAACCTCAGAAGAATCAAGACAGCTGCATCCTTCCCCACAGTAAAATTCCAAGGCAGAGCTGAAGGTCAGGTCCTGTATGCTCCCAAATCCATGTGCACTCACGCTGGGAGATTCGGGCAGAGACGCTCACAAACCTTTCTGGGCACCATCAGCCATATTAGCCTCTCTGCTACTCGGGGCTCCTTTTCAAGCAAGGCATCTGGGGGGCAACATCCTCATAAGGCAGTGTTTGTGTCACTTCTCCAACCTAATCAAATAAAGATGTTCTCAGCTTCTCCTGTATGTGACCACATCACCCCACAACTACTCTGCCGAACAAGCAACATTAAGGCTGCAGAGACACATGTATAAAGCCCCTTGTCCCAGCCTAGAAATCAATGATCTTCTGCTTTCCCTTAGACATAGTGTAGACTGTGCTTTAACACCTGCCTACTTAACTGACCTAGAAACTGTGAGTACCTTTCCCTGACATTCACAGGCACTGACACGCACCACAAGCTTGACCTGACTGGCGGCTGCTGGTCAGTGTGTGCTTCTGCAATCTGTCTAAAATGTATTAACAGGAAGGAAAGTTAGCAGATATTGAAAGAAGGAAAAAGATGAAACATATGGAGACTTATTTTTCTCATAAATTCACACTGATGGAAGAATAATACACAGGACAATGTCTTCTGTTACAGCTGGGCGTGGTGGCACACACCTATAATCCCAGAATTCTGGACTGCTGAGGCAGGAAGATTGCAAGTTTGAGCCCAGACTGGGAAATCTGGCAACTTAGCAAGAACACATCTCAAAGTAAAAAAATAAAATGTAGGGAGGGTGGCTGGGGATGTAGCTCAGTGCAGAGGCTTTAAATTCAATCATCAATACCAAAATTTAGAAAAACACTATTAAGACACATCCTTCCATGTAAAACACAAAGACCTTACATCCTGCAAGAGTGCCACGAGGCAGAGAGAGATGGCAAGTCCACACTGCCTGAATGGCTAGAGGGTTTTCTTACTATTTCTCATGAGTAGAGAGATCCTACTCTTACCAAAATTGATATGGGGGATTTAATTATATGAGAAACTGACCTTTCCAGGATTGATGTTAGGTATTAAGACGCTAGTGGATACTTATCAAAACTGTAGGTTGGAAACCAGAAAGCTATGTCCAGGGTTCATGCAAAAAAGGTGAAGAGGAAGGTTGCATTTCAGGTCAAGCATGTGCCAGCATTTAGGAACAGCAGGATATGAGAGCTAAACTCAATAGAAACCATGGGCTGTGCAAGACCACAGAACTGAGAGCAGATCTGGATCCCACACTGGCTGCCCACCTTGAACCTCATTTGTGAAGAAGAAAAAATAAGGAAATGATGCCCAGACTATACCTCATCCACGAAGCACCGAAACAACTGAGTTGTAAAAATCTATGCACGGGTGTTACAGAGGTAAAGCTTATGTTTTAAAGTGCTCAGTGCACGACACACAAAGCAAACAGATAATTTGCTCACCTGTATTAAGGGAGTGTTTGCCACAGATCCATTTATAGATCAGTGTGGGGAAAATGCCATTCTAAAATGATTTAATCAAACAATTTTGATATGATTGTGCCTACTAATAGGACAGGAAAACTCCCTTTTTCTTTTGAAGACAATCAGACCATATCTTCACAAAATAATTACCCATATGATATTACCATTTCTTTTAGGAAATGTGTACCAAGTACTAGTGTGCTCTGACCTCAGCAGCTGATTAATAAAATCCATAACTTAGCAAAAGCCATAAGGCAAATGAATAGCTACCTCCCCTGAGTGTGAAACATATTCTATGGCACTGTGTGATCCTGTTAGTGTTTGTAGTTCATTGAAAATTTGGACAAGAAATGTGGGAAAGAATCATTTTCTTTTCCTTGGTCTATTGGTAGCTTTGAAATGTCACTAGATTACAATTTATAATATGAATACTGGAATACAATACTAAGTGGGTATTTATCCAAACTATCATTTATCTAACATAATTCAAAAGAGTTTAATAGAGAGCTTGTCAGGACCTACTTTGCTCCCAGCTAAAAATCTCAGTATTTTCTGTCCTCTGTTCTTCTCACCCGAAGTCTCAGTCCACCGGAGCTTCATGTTCTCTTCCCTGACTTACAAATCAGCACGTGGACACAGTCCTTGGGCTGAGGTGATTCAGACACAGCAACATCAGAAGCCAAATGTGTGCACAACTGGAAATAGCAAATGATTTTGACCTTCTTTCTTCCTTTGTAGGAGATGCTGGCAGAACTCAGAAGATGGGGGACAGAACAGGAAAAAGTGCTTGCAGGAAACCAGCCTTCTTGATTCAGCATCCTACCATGTCCAACTCAAAACATAGTATGTCTAGAATGTTCAAGCTAAAGTTAGAGATGTGGTCCGAATGCGCACTAATCCCAGCCCTGGACCACCAGTGCACCTGTCACCACCCAGTGCAAAGTTCTGGGCCTCGTCCCTGTGCTGACTTATTGAATATTTACCTGGGAGCCTGCCTTTTTAATAAGTTCAAGAGGGTGTTTGGAGAATCATTCACAAATTATACAAAATCCACAACAAATTTGAAATTAATTCACCCACCACAAGTTAAAGAGACTCAAAGAGATGTTTTCTTCAATACCAATAACTTCCAACGCTAATACAGCCCCTCATCAAAAAAAGAAAAAAAAAAACCCGTTTCCTTTCTTTGTTCTGAAATGGGAACATAACACAGAGACTCCCTTGTGTGAAAATTAGGTACTGGTTTTCATTTCTTACAGGATCATTTACCTGCACAGGAGCTGGAGGTATAGACAGAGTATGAACCACTAGCCTCATGAGTCTATTTAAAGAATCCCAATAATACCTGCTGATACAAGGAAGCAGTCTTCAGAGTTCCATACTAATATTTACTATACTTGAGGCTAGATTCTTTATTAGCATGATTTCTTTTTGTTCCTTAAACTGAGAGTTTCTTAAAAAAAAGTTAGACTCTCTCCTGCTCACAGGATGCTCTTTTTCAAACCATTTGAGACATCTGTCCTTTCTTCAAAGAGTCTCTCTCACAGTGTGCCCAGTGAAAATTGACTGAGAATAAAAGGGTAACTGAAAAATGAGAATGATAAAAAGCACTGAGCAATTTGTACAAATGACAACCAAAAAGCTATAGAACTGCTTCAAATCAGAGAAACAGAAAGGAAAAACTAACAACAACAACAAAAAAAAGAATCCAGGGAAAGAACAAAGAACCCAGTTCATATATCAAGACAGTCTCCTTTTTAATTTTTTTTTAATTTAGAGGGAAAAAAGCAAAACAGAAAAAAGGGTAGAAATAATACATAATTTCAAAATAATAATAATAGGAAATCACTAGTTGATAAATTATATATTGTCATCTTAGAAACAGATGTTCAAATTACAAAATCAAAGCATAAAAAGTGGGCAGACATTCAAACAATGATAGTGCAAACCATTCTGTTCAATAATCCAACAAAAACTTAGTAGCATGGTTATCTATCCTACACACTTAAACATACACACAGTTATGTCCTTCTGAGCACTTTCTTTCCCTTTCATTTTTTTTTTTTTTTATCGGTACCGGGGATCGAACTCACGACCACACACTTGCAAGGCAGGTGCTTATGCCGCTGAGCTAAACCCCTAGCCCCTTTCCCTTTCATTTTTATAATATCTATTATATATTTTGGATCTTATTACTCCTTTAGTTTTTATTATCTTTTACACTAGAGAGACAATGTGATATTTACGAATATGAGTCTGATTTATTTCACTTATGAGGATTCCAAACAGTCTTTGGTCTGGAGCATCTCCTTAAAGTGTCCTCCAGCTCACTGCCCACCCTAATCTGAAGTCCTCTATGCATTACCCAAGGATTTATTTCAGTATCCCATGAGCTTCCTGCCAGAAACAATGCTTTGTGTCTAGTAAAGCTTCAAGCAAAACATTTAATCAGATCTAAGGCTCTATGCTATTATTTCTATATTAGAAATCATGTCCACTCTTGCATTTTCCCCCAAACATTAGAATCACTGGTCAGCATGTTAATCATGGAAGGCTGAGCTCTCCACTTCATATGCATCATAAATTTCACTTGATGCTGACATGTATAAATGACTGTGCCCACCTCCTAGAATCAGACATGATGATATTAAGAGATGGGGCCATTGGCAGGTGACTAGGTCATGGAATGAGATCAGTGTCTCTGTAAAAAAGGCACAGAGAGCTGCCTGCCTCTTCCTCCATGTAAGGATGCAGAGAGAAACAGCATCCGGGAACCCAGAAATAGATCTCAAATCTGCTGGCACTTGATCTTGGAATTGCAGCCTCCAGAACCCTGGGAAATAAAGTGCCATTGTTTATAAACCGCTCACTATTTATTGTGCTGTTATGGCGGTCTAAACAGATGGTGACAGTACAGAGAAAGGAAACTCCACTCAGCCCTGGAGAAGAAGGCCAAGAAACAGAATAGAGAAGAGCAAACTATCAAAACCTATATCCTGTCAGTCTATTATCCATCAAAATCTATATCCCCCTGCCCCACTCTCAATCCACTCCCTTGATGGGAAACCAACTCACTAGCTGTCAGACGCTGAGTCCATGGACGGCAACACCTGTGCTGGGATCTGGGACCGTGCTCACAATGGGGCAGCATCCGTTGTCACAGGAACTGGCCATCTGTTCTGCTCTCCTCTCCACATCTTTTCCGGTCTCTGATCGCTCTCCTTGCTCCTCCGCCTCCTCTCCTTCCTCTTTGCTACCTCTTTGCTCCCTTCCCCTCTTCATACCCCTCTCCTGCACCTCTCTCCTATCTCTTCCTTAGACACAGCCACATCACCACGTTTATTTGTCTTAGGTAAACAAAAAGGCAATTAAATATATCAAAAGAAATCTGACACCTGTTTGGTAGCTAATAAGAATCAGGGACTAGGAGAAAATAAGACAAATTTTCTTCTCTGTCAAATGCTGAAACCTTTTTTTCCACTAAGTAAAAATGAACAAGATACTTTTATATAAATATATATTTCATACATATATGCACATATTCAAAGCAATTGTTAAACTACTAAATTTCTTTTTTGCTCTAAAATAAAACAGAACTTTTCTAATCATTGCTTATAAACTTATTTCTTTTAACCATTTTGCTCTTCTCTAGAAACTTTAAAGTTTCTCTGTAACACTTTTCAAATATAGAAAATAAAACTGTAACACGGACACCTAAGACCTAACCACTAACACATCCTAACCATAGACATAAATGCTATCCATCTAATATTTTAAAAATGTTTTACCACATTCTTTCAGTAACCATAAATCTTTTTAAAAATAAACACTCAGCAATGGTGCCCTCTCTGTTAAATCCAGTGAGACTGCTCCCTCCCAGAGGAAATCAGTCTTTCCCTCCCCTGCTCCTTGAAATGTTTAGCACTGAGCAGCACTTTGGGATTTCCATACTTCTCTTCCACTGCAATGTTGGCTTCCAAATGTACTCATGCCTCTTGGAATCCCTTAGGCCGGCTCAGTCCTGCACGGGCTGAGTACTCTAAATAACTATCCTAGGGGAAATAAGACACAATCCTTAATCGTTTTAATGAATCAGTTTCTTTTGGAGATGAGAAGTGTGATTCAAAAGGCTAACAGACTAGAAAAATATAAAAGTGCAGAGTAAGAGCACCTCACTGAAAACAGGAGGAAACCGGCCTTTATTCCATTTACGTATTTCAACAGCTCACTCCATCAGATATTTTGAAGAGGGGACTAGGAACTTAAAACATGCTTTCTAACCCATTTTCTGCCCTTGGTTACCAACTCCAGAAAGAGGCCAATTTTAGCCACAATATGGTTTACAAACAGGAAAGTCAGGAAGAACTATATTTTATTTGAGTGGAATTTTTAGAGTAAACGTGATTAAATTATAACTTCTGCAAATCATGTCATTAATCATAAGTATACAGAAGGAAAAACAAGGTATTTTAAGGTGTTAGTAATGTTTAGAGTTAAATCCTTGGTTATAATCTTTTCTTCCCTCACCATATTAATAATTTCATTCCACTCTCTAAAATCAGAAATTATGTAGCTATTATCTGAATATGAGTTAATTAATCTGTGTAGGTTACTTTTTTCTCACTCAAGCTAATGACATTAGGAAGTTGGGTGCTTTAGTACTACTCAAGGGGAGCCTGCTTAAATCACATGTCATTGGATAAGAAAGATTAAAGGTGATTGGGTTCCCCTCCAGTCTTTTATCCTGCTCCCCGGGCCAAAGCCAGTGTGTGCCCAGGGGAAGAGCCAAGAACAGTGAAGGGCACTTGGGTCTGCAGGAAGTAATTATATCAAAGCTCTCAGTGAGAATTACATCAGGCCTTTTGGAGTCACAATAGAGATGGTAAAAATGAAATAAATTGACTTTACTTCCATGCAGATTACAACAGTCAACACCGCTGCACTCACCCCGGTCAGCGGAGAACATACTTCCCCAAGAGGTGCAGAACCCAAAGACTACGTTTCCTGGCCTCCCCACCTCCTCCTCAGGTTGCCCTCCCCAAGCCCCACAATCACTGCTCTCTAATTTAGCAGTAATAAGTCCTGCAAATATCTGTCCCAAGGAACTAAGATTTCTATCAGCTTTGGGAACATATAAAGATACTTTAAAATAAAAATAAACTGAGCTCTCAAAATGGACAGACACAAACACTTGCTTGTTAATGTTACCTTTTTCTTCGATGTTTCTGACTTCTTGGAGATGTTCTTCAATTTTTTATGTAAATGATTAAGAACCTGAAAAACACACCATTGAAATCTCAGTTGGCCTCATATAACACATTGCAAGTTTGGTACAGAAAATTACTGACATACTGAAATGGTTGCTGTATAATTACTAAAATGGGAATGTACATTAGATGAAAAAGTAAGAGAGTGTAGACTGCTGAATGTGTCTGGTTTTCTAGCATTTAAAGGAATTCTGGGCCTTCTTGCATGCTAATGATCTATCTCCTATCTCAGTTTTCTACATGACTCTCTACATCTACAATTACTTGTTCACCATTATACATCAAGCACAGTATCAGATATTGTATAGACTGAAACCCAGCATCCTGCACTCTGGGTGCCTGTCTTCCAATGGAAAAAGGCAGGTGAGCAAATTAAGGTAACAGGCTCAGACATTTCTTCAGCATGGTGAAGCCCAATCTTGCCAACATTCGCACACACATTTTCTTTTCGTGCTCCTTTCATGAGCTCTTGTCACTTGAAATCTCCATAAAGCAAATTACTCTCCATCAAGCCTCTTTTCATTATTCATATCTTGCCCAGTGTGATATGCTTTTAGAAAATGTATTTTTTTTTTTTTGCATTCAGCATCTCTGATGCTTCCTAGAGCATTTTGCAGGGCTTTACAATCAATGACCTTGTCAAGGTCACTCCCTGAGATATGCTGGCTTCATTAAGCTCAGCAACCATTCGTCTGCTTCTCTTGCCAGAGTGATATTCAAGAGAAATGACACGAAATGATTTGGTTATGTATAAGAATTTCCAAAGTAGACTTGACTGACGACATCACCCCTACAGGACTGGCACCAGAACTTATTTTTCTCTACCCTCTGTGGGAGAACTGGAGCCAATTTAGCATCTGCATGACTTGGGGCTTTAGTTTGGCTGTGAATTGCTGGCGAGTCTCTTGGGGACATAGAGGTACACTCCAGCCTTTTCTGTTTCCTCCAGCACTGCAACATGGAAAGCGTTTAATCAGATTGGCTTTATTATGGAAGCCTCTCTTGGGCTAGAAGCAGCACTTTGGGGCAATCAGTCATTGCAGTTGAGGAGCCACAGATTTATTTACCAACTCTCCAAACTCTATGCAGCTTCAGCAGCTGTCACTAGAGTATGAATTTCTGACTCTAGATCCTCTGCCTTACTAAAACGCTTCTCGATTCCTCAAACAGCTTAAGGTCACCAATAAGCCCAGTCTTCACTTGCTGTGAGAACATTTGGATAACCAACACATTGACAATGGGTTACTGCCAATAGAAATTCAGGTTCAAAACCTGGTTGGGAAGGGAAGTGAAGAGAGCAGCCTTTCAACAGCTGCAAGTGAGGAAACCTTAAAAGGGAGGTGCAGGGGCCAGAGGCAAGGTCTTGTCCAAGAAGACAAGATGGCTGTTCAGCTGACTGGCAACAGCCTGCCACATAGGTAAGAGCACAGGGTGACAATGATCACTTAAGGCAAGGGACACAGGTGTGACTAGAGGAGAGGCTGCACATTGAATCAGACAGGAGCACCTACAGTCTGTTTCACATTGGGACGGCAGGGTGGGGCACACCTATCATCAACAAACTAAAATTGGATCATTAATCAGCAACTTCCCAGCATCTAAGAGTGTTATACAATAGTCAATGCAGACAATTCCTAATCATATTTTTCTGAGCTTCGATTCTCTCTAATAACTCATATGATGAATACACAATTATATAATGATACACAGGAGAAAAATGTAGGTATCATGATAGATTATGGCTGTGCTTTCCTATGGATGATAACCTGGTGTCCTTCCCCACACCATTCTAGACATTTCCAAATGTCTGGGGAAGGTGCCTGCTCAAACCCAATCAAGGTCATGCTGGACACATCCCGTAGAGGAATGTGATGGATGGGCATGTCGGAGGCTTACTCTGCTGTTAGACCAAGGAGGTTTCTGTGCAGGAATTAATTCTAAGGGGAGCAGGTAGAGGGCAAGAGCCCCAGAGGGAGACTTCTTCAAGGGGCCCAGAGCCAGCAAGGAGGTTTGGCCTCTTGCCTTGTGTATTTCCCCAGGGACTGTCACCTGCAAAGAGCTGTTCCCCTAAACTACTGCAGAGGGCAACACTAGAATGCATTCTTTGGTTAAGTTTTTCCAAAAAGGAGGGAAAATCCATACATTTAATCTCGGGTACTTTTTGTGGTCATCTGGGATACTTCGTGTTGGCCACCAGACTTAGACTAGACAAACAGCCAGTCCTGGACCTAATACTCAAAAGTTCGTGCCACTAACTTATAGCACACTCTTACTAGTGAGCCAAAAAATAAAGTAAAACAAAGCATCAGCTCAGAATATCTTACCCCAGCTTAATTCCCACTCTGAAATGAATTTTCAGTTGTTACTTCAGAGGCAAAAGATTTTTGCAATTGTTCCTAGAAACAAACTACTTCCATATAAAAAATCCCAACTGATCATGTAATCATTAAAGTGTTAAAATCTACTTTACACTTTGTCCCGTGTGACTCTCGCGAACCGATACATGACAGACAGCCTGACTGAGTGCCGCTTTCCTGAAGATGAAAATAGTCCTTCCCTGTAGTTGCAGGACTCATGGTCTGACCCCCCACCAGCAGTGAAGGATTCTTCTTGAATCACTTTCTAGCTTCTAAGTCTGCCCAGAAGTCCCACGCCTCCAAAACTCCTCTTCCTCACTAACAGAGTAGGAACAACAGCTCCCACCCAAAGAGTTGAGTTAAATGAGACGGTGCACATATCCCACAACTGGTGAGTACAACAGCTTTAGTTTTTCATTTGCAGATGACTGGATGGTTAAACTGCTATTTCCAAATAGCTAAAATAGTTATTTTCCAAATCCCATACCTGAGCTGCATTTCCCTATGATGCATATCTTTTAGCCCAGGTTACTCTTTCAGATAATATCCTAAAATAGTACCATTCACAATAAACATAATCGGCACAGACAATGTAAACAGGGCAGAGGCATGTGGCCTATTCTAAACATTTTGGGGGACGGTATTGGCAGATAGAAAATACTAAGTAGCCGCAACCTTATCAAGAGCAGACTGAGAGACAGGGAGAGATGAAGTTAAGAAAGCGTCAGAATTTGGTCTCGGAGGCGATTTTCTTCTGGTGATGGTGCCCTGAGTACTGGGTGTTGGACTCTGGACTTCCCAGAATCGCTATGGTGTGATTACTAATCCTGCAGTTTAGCTACTCAAACATGGCAAGTTGTGCCAAAGAGGTTTGAGAAATCTTGTGTAACTAAGGAGAAAGGCAGACTCTGGAAGCAAGATGAAGACCAGCTCTCTCAAGAAGATTCTGGAGCTCTAGGGGACCAGCTGTGAGTCCTGTGGACACCACACCCGAACCCCTCAGCGCTGGACACGAGGCTCTTTCTTAACAAGTTTCAGAACTGGAAACACCACGGCTTCTCTCTCTCTCTCTCTCTCTCTGTCTCTGTCTCTGTCTCTCTCTGTCTCTCTCTGTCTCTCTGTCTCTCTCTCTCTCTCTGTCTCTCTCTCTGTCTCTCTCTCTCTCTCTCTCTCTCTCTCTCTCTCTCTCTCTCTCTCTCTCTCTCGCCCATGGTTCTCTGGGGACTCCCAGCAACCCTCCCTGCAGAAAGCTAAACTTTGTACGCAGAGGATATTACCCCGCGGCGCAGCGTCTGCCTGGTAAACAAAAGGTCCTGAGTTCAATTCCCGTTACAAAAAAAAAGGGGGGGAGCTAAACTTAAGTTTAAAGTAAAATGCCAAACGCTGGTCACCGCGCAGAAGGTGTTTCCGCAAAGACCAGCTGTAAAGCGCCCGCCGCGAGCCCGCAACAGCTTCCAGATGCCGGCTGAGAGTTGGGAGCGGACCCCATCCCGGCTACAGATACCGGAACGCTCGCGGGCAGTCTCCCGCCACCCCCAGGACGCGGGGAGCTAACTCCCGAGCGCCAGCGTGTCGGGTTTGGGGGCCCCTGAAGCCAGCCTGCGCCCCGCCGCCGTCGGAGCAGCAAGCGCAGGGCACAGGCGAGCCGGCCAGCCCCGCGGTCCAGGGGGACGGGGAGGAGGAGCGGCGGCTCCGCCGGGCGTCCTGAGAGATGGCGAGCTTCACCGAGCCTCCCTCAAACTCCAGGGAACTTCCCTGCGAGCCACAGCGATCGTGAGGGAGAAAGCAGAAGGGGAGTAAAGGAGTAGAGAGGATCCCACCACACTTATCGCTGTGAACGCTGCGCGGGGGCCGGGCAAGGACGGCCGTGCGGGGAGACTCAGCCCCGCCGGGAAAGACTTTGGGCCCGGCGCCCCCTCGCCCTCCGCCTTCGTGCAGACTCAGCCTGCGCGCGCAGTGCCCACCTTGGCGTAACAAAAGCAGATGAGCAGAAGCGGCAGCAGGTAGCCGAAGACGAAGGTGCACACCACGTAGGCCTTCTTGTGGGTCGGGTTGGGCCAGTGCTCCCAGCAGAAGGTCTGGTTGCTGATCTCCCTGTGGAAGAGGCGCTGGTGGTGGGCCACGGGCGAGGCCATGACGATGGAAAGCGCCCAGATGAAGCCCACGCCCAGGAGCGCATTGCGGGACACCCTCAGGGAGGAGGAGCGCCGCGAGTGCACGATGGCCACGTAGCGGTCCACGGACATCGCGGCCAGAGTGAAGATGCTGACCAGCATGGACACCGTGAAGACGTAGTGGGTGAACTTGCAGACGAAGGCGCCCAGCACCCAGGTGGGCAGCGCGTACACGGTGGCCTGGAAGGGGATGCAGAAGAGCAGGTAGGCCAGGTCTGCCACGCTCAGGTTGAGGATGAACAGGTTGGTGGTGCTGCGCGGCCGCCCCGGCTTACTGCGCGCCAGCACCGTGATCACCAGGCTGTTGCCCAGTACGCCCAAGACGAAGATCAAAGCAAACACCACCAGCGTGATAAAGTTATCCACGCCGATGCCAAAAAGCAGCCACGGCTCCGCGGCCAAGGGGTTCGGTCCGCTCCCGTTCCCCGCGCTGAGGTTCGATGCAGCCAGCTCCATCGCTCACGCGGGCGCCTCCAGTGCAAGGCTGCGGGGTCCTCTAGGAGCGGTGCCCGCCTGGGAAAGCAAGCGCCAGGGTTGCCTGTCTCCCAGACAAGAGCTCCGAGCGCGAGAGTTTCCAGCAAGAGCTTTTCGGGCTGGGAGGACAAGTCCGTCCGTGTCTGGCAGCTGCGCTCCAGCTCCGTACCGGGCAGCTCTGTCTTTGTGCCAGCCCCTTGTAGAAAAGGTTTGGGGGCACAAGCCCGCAGCTGGGCTTTACGGTGCACAGAAGTCCGCTCCCGGACGCCTCCAACTGCTGCGTGGTCACAAAGCCCGGAGCTAGCTGGCTGCAGCCTAGAGAACGGAGGAAACCCCCGTCCCTGCGCCTGACTCCGGCCTTACCTGTTGCTCCGGGCCGCTGCTGGCCACCGTGCTCAGGGGCCCTGAGCAGCGCTCAGCTGCACACTCCCGCACTGCTGGAAAGGGCTCGCCTGGCTGCCCGCGCGCCACCTCCTAACCGCGCAGCGCCACCAACTTCCTCCCAGTTTCTGCCGGGATTCTGAGTCCGAGTCCGTAGTCCATAGCACTCTGTGCTTCCTGGCGGTGGGCAGAGCTAGAGCTCCTAACCTGTGCTGCATCTGAGAGGTAGCGAAGACTCATCCCAGCTCAAGTCTGTGCCCGCTGCGGGACGCCTCTGGGTTCCCCCCTCCGGAAGTCACACAGCCAGAGCAGAGGTTAAGCATTCCTAAAGCGACAGCTCACAGCCCACCTTGCTGCTGGGATAAGGGCGCTGGGCTCCCTAGGTGCAGAGCTGCTGGAGGCCCTGGAAGGCACCTGCTTGGAGCAGCCCGGGCCTGGCAGGTGGGCGAGGCGGTGCAAGGCACGGCTCAGGGCGGTGACTACAGGCTGCTTAGACCTCTCCGGCCTGTAATGTGTACCCTTGGTGCCCTTCTGTAGCGTCCGCCAGTGCCAGCGCTTCCTGCCCTGAGAATAAACGCTGGAAAATCAAGCATCGGCATTGTTGCCTGGTGTTTCCTAAAATTCTGTCTAATCCCGACTCAGACGAACAAAACAGAAAACGAATTTTCTTTCTCAGTATGTATAAGAATAAGCTGGGCATAGAAGTCTCAGGACTCTGAGAGGTAAGGCAGGTAGATGGCAGGTTCAAGTCCCAGGAAATTTAATGAGGTAGGGAGAACCTGTCCCAAAAGAGGAGACTGAGAGACCTGGATGTAGCTCAGTAGGAAGGAAGGCTCTGGGTTCACCCCCAGCCCTCAGGGTTGGAAGGTGCAGAGGATAACCTACTGTTAACACCACTCAACTTTGGGTCATTTCTGCCTTACATCATTCAAGTGAATGACATAAACAGAGGTATTAAAAAGTAAAATGTTTATGAAGTGAAGGAACTGGCTTGATATCAAATCACCGGTGTAACTAAAATCTGGATACAGCACAGCAAAGTGAGCTCTTTAAGCAGTGGCAGTACACAGTTTCCTTGTTTGGGTAGTTCTGAAGAGAGCTGACCTTGATCTGCATCTGCAGTGTTTGTATGATTCGTCTATGATAGGTTTCAAACCAACAGTGTGCTTTCAGCTCCTCATGGTGACTGAGTGTCCAGTATCCACTGGACACAAGGCTACAAGCAACAGTAACACAAACAATGATGTGCACACCTTCCTGGAGAGGCTGCCCCGTAGGGATGTGTACAGCAGACAAGCGGTGTGGGGAGAGTACGCCCAGAGATGCAGGAAGGGGGCCTTTGTCTGGGGAAATGTGGAAACGAAGTACTATTACCTGTCTCTTCTCCCTTGCTCTGGCCTCCCTCCTTTTATAGAAAGACTCTGATGCAGCTGCTTTATTTATACTATGTACCTTTTTATGAGGGGATCCCTTGCAAAGGAACGGTTTTATTGAAGTCTATTTTCTAGTGGTCTTAAAATCAAGGGGAGTACTCATTTACAGTACCCAAGTTTCTACTGAGCCCAAGAATCTTCTTACCTGTCTTAAGAAGGTTGTCAGTGTGCTGCCAGGTTGTGTGACTCATCAGCTTCACTTTAGTCTCCCAAGGTGCTGTCTAATCTAGGCTTTCATAGTGTCCTGTTGTGCTGAAAAACTGTTGCATTGAAAGTTGTGCGTAATATGCCTTGAGGGAGACAGTTTTGTTGTTATGATCTGTTTTAATATGGTCACAAATTATGAAATAGATCAAACATATGAACCTATGATACAGCTTTAAATATTTAAAAACTAACAGTAATATTTAATTATTTTACATAATTTTTATATACATCACAATTTTTACATCCAAATACCATCTCCAAATAATTCACATGTACTGGCTGCCTTACATATTCTCAGCATATTCTTCAATAGTGATACTGGGGTGGTTTTGTCAGCTTGGGGGTTTTGTTTTCTTTATTTTAGTCTTCTGTAATTAATATTATGATGTAGGTCATATTTTCTGTTTTTGGCTTTAATGCATAATTTGTCTGTTCCTACTCAAATTAACATTCCTTACATTTTATTCTGTTATTTTTTGCACCCTTCTTATATCCCGCGACCTCTTCAAAACAGTACATAAATTAATTACTTTAAAATTGAATTTCACAGTCTCTATGTTTGGACTGTGAATTTAGTCCATTTACATTTATTGTTATGATGATCTGCATGGACGTTTAATTTGTACATTGTTTTTTGTTTCCTGAAAACTGCTCCCTCTGCTGTCATCTCACTGAAACATTCTTTCCCCTGTGTCCGGGAGGCCTGTGATCATCAGATACAAAGTTACAGTATCAAACAATTCTCTAACTCTTATCCTATTTTATTTTATTTCATGGTAGTTACCATGTGCAACTTGGTTTTTTTGTTTGTTTTTAGTGACTTGCCATGAAAACCATTAGAAGAAGAGATTGTTTTATTCACCCTTCCATCTCCAGAACCTAAAATAGTTCCTAGCACACAATCAACGTTCAATGGTAACCAGAAAGGTAGTAACATTTTAGATGCTTATATTGTGGGATCAGCAAATACGCAGTTGAACAGGTTAATCTTGAGTTACTGGAGAGATTAAAGCTGGAGGCCTGAGTTTAGAACCTACCAAATTTCAATAGAGGGAATTTAAGATTAATTGCTATCATTGTCCTCTCCTAAACAATTGTCTCAGAATATTTTTTAGCTCCTACCATCCTTCTCACTGTACCTTACTTTATTGTTCCATTTTTTAGTTTTTTTTTAAATTTCCCTCCACAAGTCATCATTAATACATAGCCAACATTCCCTTCACTTACATACCTATTTGCCAGATGTTTGCTCTTCCCTCTCTGCATTTTAAGCCTTTTCTTTATGCTAGAGAATGCATTTAGATTTACCTTAGCAAGAACCAATGATAAAAGTTCCTCATTTTCTTCCTAACACAACTGCCACTTATCATTGAATAGTAACAGGATAAGCAGTTCTTTGCTCTCAGCATACTGAAGTTATTATTATTCTATATTCTTCAGCTTGTATTTTTGCTCCTGAGAAGTCTTCTGTCATGCTTTGTAATTCCTGTGTAAACACTTTGACTTTTTTTATTTTTGATACCTTGTCTTTCTTAGTCATGATTTATAACTGCACTCTGATGTTTGTCGTGGGATTCATTTTCAAACTTTAAAGTTTCTGAAGCTGAAGATTAATATTTTCTCCAATTCTAGAAAATTCTCAGCCACTAACTCTTTCAGCATCAGATTTCTCAAATCTTGATATTGTCTTCTTTTGGAATTAGGAGAGACCTGTCATTCTCCAAGTTCCTTAGTCATTTCTCCATATTTTTATATCTTCATTTGAGTCAACTTACTGGTATTTCTCTAGTTATTTACCCTCCAATTCATTGTCCTTCTTGAATTCTAATAGTCTTTTTTATCAAAAAAGCACTGAGACTGTTTTTTTTAAATATTTACCCTTTTATTTTTCATGATTCTAATTACCTCTCATATTTATTCAAATGCTTTAAGTCTACTGATTTTATATTGTGAAAATTCTAATGTCTGAGCTTATTGAAGGATAATGTGTTCTCATCATTTCTACTGAATATTATTCTTTTTTAATTTTAGAATACTATTTGGCCAACATATAGCTGTGAGAAATTTGTGAGCCTTGAGTTCTGAGTATATTCCTACAAGAGTGTATTCATGGCTTCTACCCTGCACCCCAAAGCACCATCAAATCAGGAAAGTTTAAAGTTCACTCCGTTGGCTTGATGCTTGACATGTCTCAGAATATACAAAGGCAATCATAGTCTCCAAAAGTTGCACGAGATACAATGAGAATACACATTTACAGAGAAGCCTCTTCCTTCTTCTATCTCTCTGGCTGCCACAGGGCTTTCTAGAAGCTCTTTCTGGACAGGTTGTTTGAGTGCTTAGATTACTTGTTCCCTCCTTTCTGAAAGGTAATAAAATTCTTTCACATTGTAACAAACTAAGCCTCTCACGGGAGTAGAAATAAGACAACCATTTTCTTCAGGGTTTGCTGCATTAAAAGAGCAATTCCAAAATTTACAGAGCTTGATGGGAAAGGCTTCTTATTCCTACAGAGGAGTGGCTGCTGTAGACCACTCTCCTCCATTCAGTGATCTTCCCTCTACCATTCACAACTGCATATCAAAGCACAAGGCCTCCTTTATGGTGACCAAACTAGACAACAGAAAGTAAGACTGCACACTTGCAAGCTGATGTCTCCCCACGTTGGCTTAAAAGTTATACGTAACTGTTCTTTTCAGAAATGACTGGATGTAACTAATCAGGGGGAGTCACTCCAGAGCTATGGGCTGAGAAGTACATGGAAAGGGAGAAGTGAACATGTTCTGGACATTCATAGTACATTTATTGGTAAATTTCCCTTAGAAGAGATAAGACTTTGGGCTTAAGCAAGATGGTAACAGAGGCCTTGGTCTTTGAAAGCTACATCATCAGTGAAAGAATAATCTCTGAACTTGGCCTGCAAGTGGGTAAATCCATCTGGTTTTGCAAGGTTACATTACAGTAGTAAGTCCACTTCAGTTGCAAAGTTTATTTTTTGTTTATATGACATTTCTCCTCGATCAGTTGAAATTCTCTTCCGTGTTCATCCAAAGCAGTCTCTCTCCTGCCTGAGATACACAATCCATGTGCCAAATCAGTAGGATCCCCTGGTTGTCTCAAACGTTTAGCTCAAGGCAATCTCATCTTATACTTTAATGCAATAATTTATTCCACTCATTCACTGGAGGAATTCACTTACAAAGTATCAGCTCTTTCCATTAGAAATGTAATGTGGGAAATCTGCAGGAAGAAAGGATTATTCCATGCACCTTTTCCTAAAGGAGTGTGCCTTAGCTAGTGTGTGATAAACATAAAAAATATACACATCATAATTCTACAGATGGAAAATTTTCAAATTTCTTTTCATGGTTACTGATAGTGCCTTTGTGCACCTACCACAAAATGCAAGTCACTGTTATGAGTACTGCTAAAAGGGACCTTGAAATCCAAGTCATTTGCACTTCTAGAAAGGTATTGTATCATCTAACAAGAAATCTCTGAGAGGGAGAAAACAAGACACTCTGAATAATGTGGCATCCTCTCGCAATGTTCCTCATTAATCTCACCAAATGAGGCAAAATATTCTCCTCCTAATTTGAAGAATTGCCAAAGCCATTAGTGAATGAGTCCCTAACCTCAGCCACAAATCAGTCCTGAGGGGAGCAGTGTTGGTACAATCATCACACACGTCATAGACCACCACAAGGCTGACTGTGTCCTACAGG